GGTTGAGAAGAGTTAAAACACAAGTAAGCTAACCTAAGCCACATACACTGAAAGCAAAACCCCTAACAACTCCAGGCAGCAACAAAACACCTCCCTGTTCATTGTCTCAAAAAAGAAGTTAATTGCTTTATGCTCTTCACATTTCTGATAGGATAGATTTAGAGGGTTTATATTTTAGAAAACAAGTATCTGTTAAGAAACCTCCCAAGTAACAACTTGTAGACTGAGATAATGATTGCCATCGTTGGCTTGCTTTTCATTCTGGCAATCTCCCCCCAGGACCTGCAGCAGGAGGAACATGGCCAGCAGATCAAAGGAAGCTGGTTATTACCCCTCTGTATGTGATGCTGAGAAAGCTTCACCTGGAATACTAAACTCAGTTTTAGGCCACCAGTTCAGAACGTGAAAAACTGGAAGGGATCCAGTAGAAGGCTACCAAGACGACCCACAATGACAGGATGATGGAGCTGGGCTTGTTTAGTCTGGAGAAGAAAAGCACCTACATGGGGAATCTAAAAGCAGCCTAAAACTAGTAGAAGAGGGTCTCTTCTCTACCAGAAGAGAAAACAGAGCCAAATTCTTCTCAGTAGTGACAGACAAAAAGGTCTTGGGAAATTCTCACTAGAAATCAAAACCAGCTTTGTCACTATGGGCAGTGCAACACTGGAAGAGGTTAACCAGGGCTGGAAACCTCCATCAGGAGGGGTTTTACTGACTCAGGCAAAGGAGGCTCCAGTACTTGTAATGGTCTTGTTCTGAGTCACAAGTTGAACTACACATCCCCCAGAGGTGCTTTCATTTTTTTCATTTCTATCTTTCTATGGTAACACTAACTTCCTCATGCAGAAGAGTCTAACATAGTCATTTCCAAACTTTTTTAATTACATACCACATCAACAAGAAATTTTTGAACATGCACCCCTACTATATGTATATTTATTATGAATTGTATACACGCACTACTGAACTTCTAATATTTTCTTCCCACACTCTAATGGATTGCCCTGTGCATTACCTGGGGTGCACACATCCCACTTCAGAGACCACTGGTCTAACACACTGACAGGAAAAAAGGGCACGCAGTTAAGGGATAAAAAGAGGGAGTTTTATTAGGGGGTGGAGGGGTGAGTTTGGGGCTTTTTTTTTAATGGATGGAACAGGGGCAGTTTCTCTGTTGGCCTGGAATTTGGTGGGTTTTATGCACATCCATAAACTCTTCTTCACAATTGCCTATGTTCTTTCAGAAGGAGAACATATCATAAGCCAAAATCATCATGAAGACACCTGCAGTTCTCCCACTTTTCAAAAATCCACCAATAGCAAACAGATACAACAGGGTTTTTTCATGCTTGTGAAGGAAAAACTAAAGTTACTATTGCTTGGAGATTCTGCTAATGCCTGTTTGAGTAGATCAATTCTCTTTGTAAGTAACCAAATCAGTTGGGCTGAACCTGGAGAAGCTATAAAGATGGTTGCTCTAGCAGCCACATACTAACTTCTCTGCACTAGAAAGATCAGCTTCAGTTGCTTTGTTAAACGGTACCGAGAAGGATCTCAGTGGAATACGTATTACATGCTTGGCTCTTACAGAAAACACAACCATGTGGTGGCTGACAACCTGGGAAACAAAACAGCAAATCTGGAGACGCAGTAAATGTTTCTCAGACACATTTATTTGGTGGAAGAAATAATGCATTCAACAGTTAGAACCCAAACTGCTAGTAATGAAAAGGTAAGCTACACTGCAGTAGTGCAGGCTTCTAACTTCATGCAATTATTTATTGTGTGCATTTAGAAAGTGTTCACTGTGTTTTGGGAACCTTTGAAATGTCTTTAGAATAAAAAAAAAATCCATTCTTGCTTTATGACTAAAGAGGGCTGTAAATCAGCCATGTTGCCCCTTGAGGAAATATCCTTGGCACAGCAGCCCTGCCCAGCAAGCACTGGGTGAGCAAGGCTGGCGCTTTGCCACCTCCATGGGAGATTCTGGCCTACTGGCAAGATACATGACAAGAGTGGGTGCACACTGGGTCATTCCTGTGTTCCGGCAACTTCTAGCTCCCATAACGGCCCACAGAGGCTCCTGCTAGTAACAAACAAATGCAGCCTCTGAAGCTGTGCCAGGGGTCAGCTTATCTCCAGGCAACCCTAGGATCAGGGAATTAACTGCACTTACCCTCTGCCCCTGTCTGCGCAGGGATATGCATCAAAAGGATGATTTACCAGACCCCATTTTCCCCCACCCACAGGCCCTGCCCTGAAGATCTCACTATCCAGCTTCTTTTCTACAGAGGAAATTGACATTGCATTGACAGACCCATACACCGTTTTACAGATGCTCAGTATCATACATTCATTCAGAAACACCAAAATACAAATAACTCCTATTTGCTGAATAGAATTTGCAAATACAGCGTCTTCAAAGCAGTAAAATTCTTATCATGCCTTTCTGAAGGACTTCCTTACACTAATTTATTTTCCCAAATAGTACCAGGAAAAGAAAAAGAAACTTCCCCAGGGACTAAAGCAATCAGTTGCACATGTCTTCTCATGTATTTTAAAAGATCTTGCAGATGCTCTGCTATTGACTTTAAGCATAGCTTTGCTGTCTTAGGAATGCAAATCAGCTGCAGAGGCATCTCCTCAAGCCATCCGGGTCACATGCAAACATAAAATGTGACATTTTAAACACTCTTTAGTAGAAAGCCACGGTCAGTCCACAATGCATAAACAAGAGCGCTACTATTCTGCCTTTAAGTACAGCAGATCATTCAGTAATGAACAAAAACAAATCCAACAAAACAATTAGAATATAATTATTAACATGCCCGCACTAAGTTTTCACAGCATATTAGTCAAGTGGCTTGAGAGACAGCCAATTCCATTCTTACTGTGGTTTATCTCATAATGGAATTTCAGATATTTGCATTGCTGAATATGACAATTTTCAGCAAATTGTAAAATTAAACTGCAATAGTTTTAGAAGGGAAAAACGACACTAGGAATCAGAAGCGTACAAACTGGTACCTTCAAAATGTAAAGTAATACTTTTTCAGGCAAAATACCCTAAAAGACCAAGTACCTTTCAAGAAGAGAGAGCAAAATGTCTACCCCATGCTCCAAAGTTCATTAGCTATTAAATTTTTTTGAGATATGGGCGATGCAGGTCCAGGTTGTCTGTGCTGAACTGAAAAATGCAACTCATGTCTACTGACAGACACACTGCAAAGCCAAGGCAAAGGGGGCAAGGGTGAGGGTAAAGGGGGCAACTGGAGCAAATGCTGAGTGAAGAAGGGACTGAACTTGGGGCTGACTTCCTGGCATTCCTTAATAGCATGAACTTATCAGTGAAATTTTAAATTTTGTGGTATGATCCTATCTACTCTTCATAAGGCAAACAAGAGGGAAAGA